AATACTATGACGTACAAAAAAATTACTGGACAAAAGCTAGAGAATGAGAGACGTAAATGGCGCCATATAAACTGGTTAATCATAGATGAAATTTCAATGGTGTCATATGAAAATTTGCGAATTATACACCTGCGTCTCCAAGAATACAAAAATAATGACAAATTATTCGGCGGGGTGCAAATATTGCTTTTTGGTGATATACTTCAACTCCCACCGGTAAAAGGGCATTGGTGTTTTATTCAACCGCCATGGTTTTCGGGCGAAGTTAACTTATGGCAGCAGTTCTCATTTTGTGAACTTACGATAAATATGCGACAACGAAATGACATTGAGTTCATAGACCTCTTAAATAGCTTGCGGGTTGGTGAATTAACGACATCTCAGTTGGAGTTACTTTGTGAGCGGCGACACGTGCCTTTGTCAGGAGATTTTGCTGATGGGGTTGCTGTCCGTATATTCCCTACTGTTAGACAAGTAGATACATATAATGAAAGAATGACCGTTGAAAATGCGAAAGCGCACCGCATGTACACAATAAATGCTGTAGATGAGTCTCGAGAGGCGGCAACCTATGGTAGGAAGCCACCAGAAAATGTTATTCCTAAAGACATTAATAACTGCGGTGGTTTCTTGCCAACTATAAAGTTGAGTATCGAATCGCGAGTCATGTTAAGGCGGAATATTTCCGTATCTGATGGGCTCGTGAATGGTGCCATGGGCATTGTTAAGAAAATTAAATGGCCTGCTCTCCGAAGAGATCAATTGGAGGAAGGCGAGTTGCCTGAATCTGTGCTTATAAAATTTGATGACGCGACTGTTGGCCATAGAACAAAAGATAATGACGGTTGTGTAGCAATCTCACCTGCTTGTACAACATTTCAAGCGCAAAGAGGATATGGAGATGTCGAACGAAGAATGTTACCGCTCATCTTAAGCTGGGCAGTAACCGTTCACAAACTTCAGGGTACAACCCTTGATAAAGCAGTGATCGATTTAGGAAAGAAGAATTTCGCTAAAGGACAGATTTATGTAGCCCTCAGTCGCGTCAAAACCTTAAATGGCATTGCCATATCTGATTTGGATGCAAATAAGCTATTAAATCGACCCCACGACGAAAAATCATTAACAGAAATGACACGCTTGCGTGATCTTTCCAACAATTAGGTACCTAGTTTTCTTTAATAATTATTATTCAAATCGGTTCATAATTGGCGGAGTAATCGCGTATTTTTTTTATTTGTTGGTTTGTTGAAAAATAACTGATTAAAAATTGTAAATAGGTAGGTTTTCTAAGTATCAATAATTTTGTTGAATGTTTGAAGTAAGTAATTAAAATTGCTTTTTAGTTGTTTGAAGTTTTCAATTTTTTTTTTAAATAATTTTATTTTTTAATTTTTTGTGGGAAGTAAGTGTGATTTTTAAGGTCATAAATAAACGCTCACACTCACAGCCCAACTCTAAAAATGTTTATCGTATCCGTGTATCCTAGGTGCCGTGGACAAGGCCGCCAGAGAGTGGGGACCTCTGGTGGCAGATTGATTGCTGCGGTAGGGAATGGAATGGCCGGCCTGATTGCATTAAGATGCGATCGGGCCGCCATGCCGCGATTGAAGGGGGAAGTGTTCTCCCCTGGGATAGGGCCTGATTAGGCATGGTGTCAATTCGGGGAGGACCTGAGATAACATGGTCCGGGTCCTCCCCAGAGTAGGACACCTAAGGCCGGCCGTCGGGGTGGTTTTTAGTGGAATCACCACATACTCCTGGCTCCTGGGTCCCCGAGGAGCCGGAGATCCGAAGGGATTTTCCACCCCGTCAACAAAAAAAAAAAAAAAAAAAAAAAAAGAAAGGTGCCGTGGACAAACATAATGTAGGATGGTCAAAATTGGCGGAATGATCGCGTATCAAACATACAAAAAGAAAACATACTGTCGAATCAAAAACCCTCCTTTTTTGATGTTGGTTAAAAATCGGCTAGCATGAAGCTCCTAGTCGAGACGAATCAAATGAGCACAAACACGGCGGAATTGCTTTATTTTATTACAGAGTTCCCATGGCTATTTACCGTCTCCATCATCAGACCCTGAATATCACATAGGATCGGAGTCCTTATTAATTAGACTCAAACACATTCAAATTCGATGGTATTACATAATTTTGTTACAGAGATCCCATACTCCTAAACCATTCATCATCAGCTTCATCATCAGCTCAGCAACATCAGATGGTGACCATTAGATGCAAAAATCTACATAGATTAAGATAATTTCTGATAAACAGTGTATATGTCTACAAAATTTGAGGGTTTCCCTCGATTTCCCCAGGATCCCATCATCAGATCCTGACCTGGTGACAATGGGACCACCTCAGACGTATGACCTATCAAATAAAAAAAGAATTATTCAAATCGGTTTATAATTGCCGGAGTAATCGCGTAACAAATATACAAAAAAAAAAAAAAAAACAGTCGAATTGAGAACCTCCTCCTTTTTTTGAAGTCGGTTAAAAACGTAATCAGTCTAATTGGTCCAGCTATTCTCAAAAGCTTAAGTCATTACCGAACGAATAGGATTCTTGACTTGATTATTGGAATGTTAAATTTAATGTTTTTTATTTAATACACTTAGTTTCTATAGGTATTAACCCATAGATTAGTAATGGTTCATGTCATGTTTCTCAAAGGTATGAGATTTATAGGTTAATTTTCAAGTTTAATTTTCAGTTGTGAAGACTTCTATATCACAATTTTCTAAGTAATTCACAGTCTTTTACTTTTATAATATTATTCTATAATATGACATGTAAAAACGATCATGCAAATGCTTAGGCATACGTAAATAAAAGATTTAATAAAATATATTGTTGACTAATTAAACGTCCATTGTTTAAACTTTGACATAGTACTTAATTATCACATTGTTGTGACTGCATCACTCACCTTGGATTCATTATTAAGATAATATTCATTCTGGAATGTGTTACAGAAATGTAATGATCATAATATATCTTCTTAATTGTTTATTTATTGTAAACTATCTATACTAAAATGATAGAGCTTGTTTGGTTAAACGCTATTTTATTGTTGGAATACCCCATTTATTAAGGTAGGCTATATAACATCAGACTACGACCAATAGGAACTGAGCATGGAATAAAAGTATTCGGCGGTCAGCTAGTTCGCTATTAATACTTTACACTACTTTATTGTTATAAACTTGTAATATATTTACAAGTTTATAACAATAAAGTATTACATATTGGTACTAATTCTGTTGTTCGAAAACTAACTAATCTAACAATCACTAAAACTTAGTTTTGTCCTGTCAAATACTACGTTTTCAGAATACGAAACGTTGTTTGATAGGCCTAAACAAATTTTCAGTGATTTTAAGTTTAGTTTAAAGAGTTTTCGATCAACAGAATTAGCACCAATAAAAAGAAAAGGAGTATCTTTGAAACGCGCAGTGTTGTGACTTAAGGTAGTGTTATACGTCACGTTTTGCTTCATCATCATCATCAACAGCCTTTAATAGTCCACTGCTGGACATAAGCCTCTCCTGAGAAAGGAGGTTTTGGCCTACTATACCACGCTGGCCAGACGGGTTGGTAAAGGGTTTGTGTCAAGTTTTCTTTCTCTCTGCAGTGCTGTTGTCCTGCTTAGTTTTTTCCCTTAGTCGGCTCTTACGACACCCACGGGATGAATAGGGGTGGTGACACTCTGTATTCTTAATCTGTCACCACACGGACCACGTTTTGCTTATTTACCTTTATTTCTTCCCTTCTATTGGGTCTAGCGCGATTGACGTAAGAGGTGGATTAAAGTTTAACGCAAATGCCATGAATTTGCTAAATTATTTGGCAACGACGATTTAGTCAACAATGCTAGTTACGTATATCCACTATCCCTGATGTTGTCTGTTTTTGCAAAGTTGACGAAGTGAAAGTAAAATTAAAAGACGACCGCTTGAATAGGTAACCCGCTTGAATAGGTAACCGTGAAAGCGAAATAAAGAAACTCATATTCGTGTCATAGACCCGTGCCACTTCGACTGCACGGATGGCGTAGTCGTTTAAGCGGGCACCTGGGCACCTGCACTGAGTATTGTGGGTCCGATCCCCACATGGCACAACACTTTGTGTAATCCACAAATTGTTGTTTTGAGTCTGGGTATACTTTGTGTCCGTTTCATGTATGTTTATAAAGTCCCCCGCGACACAGGATTTCTTCCTAGTGCGAGAGTTGTCTTCTTAAAAAAAGTACTTCGTCTGCGTTGCTCAAAAATAATACATTTGCCCTGTTTCTGCAACATTTTACATTGATGCTCGGTTCCTATTGGTCGTAACGTAACGTTATATAGCCTTCCTTGATAAATGGGCTTTCCAAAAATAAAATATTTTTAAATTCGAACCAGTAGTTCCTAAGATTATCGAGTTCAACCAAACAAACAAACTCTTTAGCTTTGTAATATTAGTAGGTATAGATAGTATACATTGATATATAATGGCTTTAATGAAAATATTATGTGAAATGTTTGTTAAATGAAAAGTCTCGTGCATATTTAACTGAAGTGCAATTTTAAGTATAACATTATTATACACTAAAACTCAGTACAGAGTCGTACACTTAAATCGCATAAAACTACAAATTAAAGGAACATACTTTCACTCACACACACAAACACTCACATGCAAATCATAGTACCATAACATGCAAGTTTAATGATAATACACAAAGCATTCACAACTGCTCTGCATTAGAAAGTAATATTTAATACTGTATAAATATATGGCCAAACGCTGTCTTTTAAGATACAGGTGTCACCTAGTTTAAAAGGCAGGGTTTTTCACTAATTGAACATAGTTATTTCGATCTTATCGACGACTAAAATTGTTCTGTAACTAACGTGTACTGAACTGTAAATTTCTATGTATATATTTTTTTTTGAAATAAATTTTAAATTCAATTTCTATAAAATTATTATTCATTAAGTTTGTATTTTCAGACTCCACCTACGTTAACAAGCCTATTGTATGGTAAACCGGTTCACGGTCATTTGTATATTGAGCGGATACCCGTTGAAAAAGTGCCTGAGGATGAAGCAGAAGCAACGAAATGGCTGCACGACTTATATGTAACCAAGGTACGTTTCTAACAATGTGTCATTTTGATTTCTGTTTAAAAAATACCGTTTGATCATCAATAGCCGTCTTAGGTCACTGTTAACAAAAAATAATATGAATAGTGATCATTAATGGCTAACCATATTTTTTTATAATATTTGAACATTAGGTAATTGTTTCTGTCACGCCTTTATTATATAGAATTAGTTGGCTTGTGACGTTTTATTTAGAAAGATTGATTGCACAACAACACATATATCATAATAAATATATGTATTTACAATAATAGATATTATAATCTTTCAATTAATGAGTATTAGATATTAGTACTTATTTTCTATATATCGGATAACGCCCGCGAAGAACCTCGTTAACCTATCTTTGTAAATGATTAACTATATAAGTACCTTCATATATACCTATAAATGCATACCTATGTCTAGTAGGTGCGCTATTAGTTTTTTGATTATACGACAGTAAATTCACTAACCTCATAAAAACTTTAGTCGTGCTGCGTAAGTGACACACTGTTAACTGTGGACTATTTCGACGTCACACACAAAGGTACCATATGTATGAAGGTTATGAGCAAATTACTCCAAAAAATTTATTCTCTCTGATTCACGCCGCGCTTTCTGCGAAGATATGGTCAAACAACGCCTCCGCTTGACTATTGCGCCAAACATAAGACTGGCCTGTTGGTCTAATGGCTAGTGACCCTGAATGCTAAGCCGGGGGTCGTGAGTTCGATTCACATACAGGACCAATAATTGTGTGGTGATCACGATGATGTCTGGGTGTAATTTATCTATGATAAAAATATTTAGAAACATACATATAAGTATGTTTATCAGCAGTCGGGTTACCATAGTACATAGTTATCTATATATCATGAATTATATATCATATAGTTATAAATCACAAATATTAAAAAAAAAACTATTATCATGATGTTTCAGGATAAAATGCAAGACTCGTTTTTGAACACTGGAGACTTCTTCCTCCAATCCGGTGTTGAGCGTGTAGACTCATTTGTTGTGGAGCCTCCTTTGTACTCTTTGTTCAACGCACTGGGTTGGGCTGTTGTCACACTCACCCCGATGCTTTACTACTTGCTAGGATTGCTCTTCAGCGGAAAACTCCTTTATTTCTCTATCGCAAGCGCCATATTCGGTGCATGTGAGTATTATTGATTTAATTACTTACTTATTTTTATTTTTTACTTTCTGACAAATAGTTATTGGATTTTCAATTACTGATAATGGTGGCAACATGACTATTAAATGATTACAGGTGGACAAAAGGAAACTTGTTAGTTTCTTACTTATCAATTCTATTTAATGTTTTATGTACATATTAGTTAATGGATACTGGTTTTTATGTTAAGAAAGACCACTGTTAACTTGGTTTACATAATTACTAGTATTTTCTTAAACCCTCCATAATAATAACTGAAGGCAAATTCTCGTAATAAAAGCTCGGTCACCATGCAGTTCCGATCAACTTTCGATCTCACAACTGTCAACAAAGGTATTTTCTTAGTAAAAAATACAGTATTACTAAGACTAGCAGATTACCGATTAAATCCTCGATATAACCACGTTACCAGTCAACGTTGTATGTTTAATATTTTACTACGAAAAAATACCTTTCATGACAGTAAAGAGATCGAAAGTTGATCGGAACTAAATTGAGACCTAACGTTCATTACAAGAATTGGCCTTCTGGTTTTAGTTTTGGATAAGTGGGTCTGTGCAGAAGAGTATATAGTGTGGGATTCAAACCCACAACCAATTTATTGCTAGTCCGAAACTGAAGCTATTATGTTCTACCATTTGAAAGTATATAATACAAGCAGCTATTAAAACTCTGTTTAAACTATTAATAAACTTATTACTAGTCTATTCCAGTTATTACATGATTTTAAAATCAAATTCGAATTTTGAGCGCTGACGTTTTCAATTTAAAAATGTCTGTCTGAAAATAACTGGACGCTTTTTTTCCAGTTTTCATACTACTCCAAAAATCTATTGGCATGTCAAAAATCAGTCAAGGATCCTCATACGGAACTGAGCAGAAGTGAGGTACAAGATGCAGTATACAATATTTTTGAAAACAAAGTAGATCAAGTAGTCTCATACAATGTCATGTATGTATAATGTTCATTTTTTTAAATAGCGCATTAATGGCTGAGAATATTAGTATAAATAGAAAATGAAATGAACGGCTTAGTGTGTATTATGTGTATAAAAAGCTAAAGTTGAAATAAAGTAATGTAAAATATGATTAATTCAAATATTTTTGAATACCTGCGTTAAAAGCTCCTAATTATGAATGAAAGGAATTTTAGATACTTCTGTTATATCATTTATTTGTAAATAGTGTAGTGCCTGGGTCCTAAAGAACTCGTAATTCGCGTAATGTAGATGTACAAATAATTTAAAAATAAAATTTAAGCTAACTGAAAAAATATAAAAAAGTTTACCTATTACGGTAGGTTAACCGAAAGAGAATGTCTTGGGAAGTTTGAAATAAACAAAAAAAAGTGATCTTGGTGTAGAATATCTCCGTTTATTTAACTTAAATTAACTTTTAAATTAAAAAGAAGCATAAGTCCCGTAGCTTTGTTGCCGTAAAATCTATTTAAACAATATAATTTTTTGTGTGTGTTTTATGAAATTTCCGGATCAAAATAATTTCATTTACTGTTAACAAAAGTCCGGGGGTAAATCCCCAGGCGCTACACTAATAGTGTTCTGTAAAAATAAATAATTGTTATATTTATAATCTACTTGAAGATATATTCTTTAAAAAATACGTAAGAGTATATTTTGATTAAATAGTATATTTCGATATGATGAATCAATGTGGAAATCTGTGTATTGTATTTTAAATTATCTGAAATTATGACAATGATTACGATAACTGGGCTTACTGATTCCCATTAAAATTAAACTACTCTAAGCTACATTGATGATGTTAGTACGAAAGTGTTGGAATTGACCCAAATGTTAATCACATGGCAAAAACACAGTAAAAAATTGTAATCATGATTTTTTTAAACTCATTACGATATTTTGTTTTCCCATAAAGCATTAAACTATTTCGCCTGGTTCCTTATTTTTTATATTCCACAATTTCGATGCAGTAAGGCAAACTTATTGTTTTTTATTTAACAATTTAAATTTTAGCGAACAATATTGCTAGAACACTACTTGTGGCAGTACTAGGTAATGTGATTCTTTTTTTTAATTTTAGGCCTATAATAGCTCTCATTCTCATCGATTACACAGGTCTGCGACTTTTTTTGAAAAGTTTTTTTGTTAAATGGTTAATATTCGTTTTAATTGTCTTAAAAGTAATAGAAAACGGTATTGATGATGTATACCACGTCACATTTATCAGATTTAGATGATACAGTATTTGAATACGAAAAAGAACAAAACAAAAATTTAATAAAATAAATGAGAATCATTTGAGAATATTTTGTAAAGTTTTATTGAGTCTATATCTATTAAAATACAACATTAAGGTATACATGAAGAAAACAATTAATAATAACATTTTCTTTATGAAAAAAAGCTGCGTTTTGTTGGTTTTAGTTTATGATTTTTTATTTCATCTCTGTGTATCATCCAGGAATAGTCCGCCATTATATTAACGTCCCAACGACCTTGATATCTTCTTTCCATCTCTTTTATGTCCCGATGAAACCGTTCATCTTGTTCTTCACTGTAGTCGTAGTCTACATAATACTTTTTGTTACTTTTTCTCACAGCGGAAAGGCAGGTTAGTAACAACAGTTGGTCATAGAGTATAGATTAGAAATACAGATCATGGAATTAATTTTGTAAAAAAAAACAAACTTACCGATCTAAAGAACTATTATATATTTATCTATATGCAAAAAGAATGTGAAGTGATACGTTAAAACAAAGTTTATTTTTGCTATATACAGACAACATCTACTAACATCTACATGTTTGTGATGAATTTATTTAAAAAACTTTTTCATCGCAGACCTGTGTTATTTTATGCAGAATTTATACTACTATTCGCCTTTATTACGACACTAGAACTTTAGTTTTGCGCGCATTGTGAATTGATCAGAGCGACATGTGACCTGTCAAATAGTTTTAATAACGGTCATGTTTACCGGACAGAGGAGTAATCCCTGTAAATGGCCATTTCCAATTAGTTTTATGCTCTCAGTTTCAATATAGTCATGTATTCTTCTAGAACCTATAGGTACAATATGTATTTTTCTGATGGATCCATGTTGAGGGTACTGATTTGTAAGTGTTAAAAGTTAAGCCACATAACGGTCTTATTAGATGTAGGTTGAATAAAAACTGTGAAGAATTGAGAGTGACATCTTTTACAATTCTTCTGTTATATAGTTTTTTCGTAAATAAAAATACTAAAATTGAAATAAAGTTGTTGTGACTGATATAAATATGCAATTTGCAGTCAATGTAATATATTTTTATTGTTATAAAGGATAAAACTCTCACAATTCAAAAATTAGTGTCAATAACAATTTAATATGCTATATATCTAATATACCTTAATATCTTCAATCATATTTTATACCGTAGGTGTTTGATCGGCGTTTAAAAAGCATGCATGCATCAGCACGGCATCAAGTATACTCTGTTACAATTAGTTATATGCACAGCTTTCCTGAAGACGCGCTCGCGCTAACTATGCGACTTTTTATGTCTGGTAAAAAACTAAATTGCCAAAAAAGCTATAAAAAAAATTAGTATTTTTCATACTTCTACTCCTTTAAAAGTTAACAATGCCACTGTAAAGAAGGATAATTAGAAAAGTTAGTTATTCTGAAAGACGTACCTTTCTTTATTGTCGCGAGCGAGCGAGCCTGTGCAACACGTGACACAGGTCTACTACGCCCCAGGTATAATATGCTACAGTCTACTACTCTCTCTACTACTACATTGAAGAAATTGTAACGACGTATTACAACATAAAGCAAGGATGTCAATCGTATCGTATTGCTTATTACCATCCTGGCACAATAAATGCATGCATGTAGAGTATGTAGTGATTTTATTAGGGAATATGCATATATGGCATATTTGATCGAAGTTTTAAATATATATTTTTTGTCTAAGCAAACAATACATGAGTTAAACAAATACTTTTGCACAAATGTAAGTTGAAAGCACAATATCGATTCGATCGATTTTTAACATAATGTATTAACAAAGTTCATATACAATTCATTGTTTCTCTGCATATTTAGCAAATTTAATAGTTTTTCTTGTTGTGAACTTATCACAAGGTATCCTTGCAGAGTCAGAGAACTCGGAGATAAATGTTACTTGCGTACAAGTACATATTCCAAAACAATCTCAGTACACAATACAACGACACAATTAACTCATAGAGTACATATGCGGTTGGACTTTTAATTAGCTACTCATAAAATACTTTAGCTAGCAATAAAAATGCTAAAAATATTGCGTTTAGTACTGTGATTATGTCTAACGAATTAGCAAGTTCATTTTGTTTTGTGTTGTTATTTTATTAATCTGTTAGTGTCTTTCGTATTTTCTATTTATTTAGGCAAGTAAAATCGTACTGGTGATAGTGATATTTTTGATATATCCAGTTGCGAATACTATTAAAAATACAGTCGCTTTAGTGACTAAAACTGACAGTTCCCAGTTTTCGGACTTTATTAATTGCCAAACACTTAATAGCCAAGTAAGAAATGCATATTATTATATAGTCTGTTACGGTTTTTAGTGGCCCAAAGATTGTAACCACTGCCCCATATATCAGATGATATGACACTAAGAGTATAATTTTATCTGGGTATCTTTTACGAAATGCTACACATATTTGATTCATTTGTTTTTTTTTTTAATTCTAAGTACCTACCTATATAGTAGAAATAGCAATCTGAAGTTGTTTGTTGCTTCTATGTGACGTCTAAGTAGAAAGTTTGGTTGAACAGACATTTTTTTTAATAATAATGAATACTGCTAATGCAGATGTGCGTAAAAAAACTTGTCTAATAAGATGTTAAGCATCAAACATAGAACTTGTTTTTACATATTGTGAGGTATTTTTATATTTGTGATATGCCAAATTGACATGATAAGAGATTACTAACTTAGCACAACTTGTCTATGTAAATTATGGACTTGTATTAAAAGGTCGTTATTTTCATTTCAATAGGCATAGATGTTGTAACTTTGTACGTATGTTTATTATTATTAAACTTGTACTACCTATATCGCCATTTTTTTGATAATAATCAACTTACTCAACAACTTCATAATCCACTCTCTTACTTTGTATAAAAGCTCAAATTCAATATTTTCATTTCATAAAGTTACTGAACATTCCTAGGACCTCTAGTCTATTATAATAACTCATCATTTATCTATGAACATTATAGTTTTTAATGAGATAAACTACCCATGCGAATTCACTAGAAATTTGTGATTTCTATGTCCCTTGTGTCTTAACAAGTATAATTGCACCTCACACATGTTGACCATTACCTGTTTATGGAAACCACAGCCAGCACAACTCAATTATTGAAGACGATAATTATGTGGCTCTTAGTTTTCCTTTAAATTCATATCCAAGTTCTAACATACTTTTTTTTAAATTTATTTATCATCTCAAACCAAAAATACAGGAAGTATTAAAACATAACACGATAAACAAAGGTTTGTGGAGTGTAACACAGACAGTCAGTATCGCAAATTTACAATAATATTTACGTGTCCATTTGGATTGAGGAACCACTTTTCATATTCTAAAGAAATTAATATTATTATTTAGTAGTAAATTTAAAAACATTGTAGTCTCGATCCTTGATTTTGTAGTATAATACTTTTAAAATTATATAAACAAAAGTGGCTCCTCAATTTAAATGTTTGGAGCCACGTAAGAACTAGGAACATAATGGATGTATATTTATCATAATTAAGTATGATTTTGTAGTATTTGAGAGTAGTTGTGGACAAAATCTGACCTTGGTAATGTTAAAATTAAAAAGTTACCACATATATGGCTCTTCATATATATGGTAACTTTTTAGCCCATTAAGACCATACCTACATACAACTATAATTTTTCCAAAAAGTAGTCTTTCAATTGATGCGCAATTTCTTCATCATTTAGTAGTTAGTATGTTAAATTTGTAAAGAGTCAGTAATTAAAAATAAGTGAATTGAGAGAAATGGCAAATTTTAACTGGCTTCCCAGTTAAGATGCTTCAGTAAATAGATTTGACTCTAATATAGGTGATATCTAGATCTAGATCCTCCGGAAGCCTCACTCACTCGGTGCCAAGGAAGGAAGGAATTGCTTTCCTGTGAGATTGTAGTATCTCTCCGATCGCGCCGGTCCATAAGTACGAAATAAAAAATATTTTATTTTTATTATATATTAATGATTTCTCAAGGAATATCCATTTTACTTAGCCTAAGTATAAAGTCAAGGAGGTACATTTGTACTTTCACTTCTATAGGTTTGTTAGTTACAAAGAAGCCAGGTACTCCAGCCTTTTCTAAAGTCACCTGCTGATCACTAACCTGAAATCATAAGATATACAATACATAGTTATGTTTCTTTTTACTTCTTTGTATGAAATATTGCGCAAAAATATTTATACTGTACTATTATGCTGTCTGGAGAAAAGTGTAGCTCAGTTTAAAACAGTGGCGGATTTACATATTTGCCGCCTGTAGGCTAAAAATTTGCCGCCTCTACTAACTTCTGCAATTCAATAATATTTTTGGTGGAAACCCCCTTGGGCCGTCAAACCGTGATTTGCGGCGGGGTGTTGTTTCAGAATTGAACCGACGAAAACCATACGGTGTGCTACTCTGTGCCTGAAAAAGAAGGAATCCGGGCACAGCTGTTATTAAGACAGGGTTGTCCAAACCGAATGGAGATTCTGGAGGGTCTCGATCGTGAGTCGCCCGCCCTTATCGCGCGGTGCGATAAAAGCGCCGCGCATTGGAGACTTTCGGAGACTCTCTAGCCCAACGTCTTACAGAATGCGGTTGAGGGACTTTTCCACAATGGGTGGAATACATACCCTTGTAGATGGCCTCCTTGGCGAGACACTGTGGGAAAACCATGAATGATGTTCCACTCGTCACGGATCCTGAGGTAGGGGCGGCTGTTTTACGGATTCGTTACAAGAACACCGCCTCCGGGCTAGATGGGATACCTGCTCGTGTGCTGGCCCTAGACCTTGACTATATGTTAGACTGCCGTTAGAGAGGGTTCTCTCTAGCCGCATCGTCCAGACTCCCAATTCAGTTTTCAAATGGGGCGTTCGACGATAGACGCTGTGTTGCACCTCATTAACGTTGCCGAAGAGGCGGTGAGCCGTTGGTGGCGTGCCGTTGGCAGGCATCGCCAACGCATGAAATAGTCTGCCATTCAACTGCATCAGGGAAGCACTCTACTATCATGGGATGCCAAAGTACCTGAGGCGGCTAATGGCAGACTATTTAGTGGAGCGTACCGTCGTGTACGAGGACCGAGATGGTTATCTAAGGTGTCGGCCCATGTCGTGCGGTGTTCCACAGGGGTCTGTTTTTGGACCACTCCTGTGGAACATAGGGTACGACTGGGCCCTCCGAGTTGATTTTCCCCCTGGGCTGGGTGTAATTTGTTACGTCGATGACACTTTGGGCACGGCCCGGGGGCGAACTTTCAAGAGGCGGCGCGCCTGGCCACCAGGGGAGTCTCTCTGGTGGTCGGGCGCATTGAGGCGCTGGGCTTACGGGTGGCCCTCGATAAGACGGATATTTATTCCATGGGCCCCGTAGTGGTCCATCCCCCGGCGCGGTGATCAATATACGGTCGGTATCGGTCCTCATATCGGTTCAGGCCCAGAAAAAATATCTGGGGCTGATCCTCGACGGGAGGTGGCTCTTCGACGAACACTTCAGACAGCTTGCTCCAAAGCTGGTTGGCGCTGCGTCTGCCCTTGGGCGATTTACCCAATTTGGGTGGACCCAGCGTCGCGACAAGACCGCTGTACACGGGGGTTGTCCGGTCAATGGCACTGTACGGCGCAACGGTGTAGGCGGCGGCACTGATAGAACAGGGCGCGCTTCTGGCGCCCTTAGAGGATATTGGCGATTAGAGCCATACGTGATTACCGCACCGTTTCAACGGAGAAGGTCCGGGAGGACAACCTCCACTTGGACCCCATTTGTCGGCAAGCCGGGCAGGGAGGCTCACTTGCCAGCGCCTCATGCCGCCGTGAGTGACGATTAGTAAAAAATTAGGCAAAATTACTAGTTTAAATTGTAATATTAAAAAATTAAGTAATTTTAAAAATCCATATTCACCAAGGTACATCCCCGAAGCGTTTAGTAATTTTTCAAATACATATGTTGAAGTATTCGATACAATATTGATATTTTTGTTAAATTTTCGAGACATCTTTTCTCCGTGAATACTCGTATATCTGTCTATAAGACAAAAAAACAATTTTTGCACCACATTTGCCGCCCCACCGGGGTATACGGCGGGGTGGTGTATCGGAATCGGACCGACTAAAACCACACGGTGTGCCACTCTGCTCCTGTAATAGGAGGGATCCGGGAACTGCTGAAAATTTGCCGCTCCTACTCCAGCCTACTCAGCCTGCTGGTAAATCCGCCACTGGTTCAAAGAAATATAATTCCTGTAACTGTTTAAATTCGAAGCAAGACAAATAAATATCATTTTTGGCTTCTTTTGATCATAGCATTTTAATAAACAAATGGTATTTTACATAACATTCTTTGATTCTTGATTTCTAACTAAGATATTTCTTAGATCTACCAGAAGAAAACGGGAATTTTTAAGGGTTTCGAATTGGGCAAAATTATATTTTGTATTAATATATTATTTTATATAATAGGATAGCTGTAGGATGCTCTCTTAGATGTAAAATTGTATTTATCTGTAAGAGGCTGCCCTCTTTAATAGACATGGGTAACTCAGATAAATTCCTTGTTTTACGGAGTCATTGTCTTAATAATGCTGTAATGTGACAACGTGAATTTTAGAACGTACGTGCTTCGCCATCTCGAGCAGACTTGACTATTATAAGAATTGAGATATTGACCATAGTGTTGTCTGTCCACATGAAGATCTAGATTTCATTGTGGGTAAGTAATGTGAATCCATTCTTCATTAGCGATTAGTCGTGGATTGACAAGTTTTTTTTTATGAGAAAATATTCAGAGTAGTTAAATTATTATCCAGCATAATATTCAAAATATTACTGTCTCATATTAATGTAAAAGAGTTGCAGTAGGAGTGAACCTGTGCACTGCACTAACAACACGTTTAGAGGAATAAAGTTTACGCAGTCAGTGCAGTGTACTGAGCTAGTAAACTCTTTTGTCTTAGTCAAGTCTTTGCGTGGCCAAGGACATTATTACCTATACTCTTATATTTACATTTAAGACATAAAATATTAATGATTGGCTACCGTAGGTGGTCTTTTAATTGAAATAAATAGTCTTAATTATTACTTTTTGATCCAGTTGAAGAACTAATTTCATATCTGTCTGTCGCAGCTCTTCTCTATGCCTTTCTAATAAGATAGCTTTTTGTAGGTCTTGTTGTTCAGGTGCAGTTGTATTTATCATATTTTGAATTTCCACTAAAACAGTAATAAATTTCGTTATCTGATGAAAATATTTAAAGGGTAAGGGTAATTTTAATCTTTTGACACTATAATTATCTATTCTTTCATAACCCTTTGAATTTTATCTAAATTTTAACTCTTTTCTCTTTATACAAATGTTTTATATATAAAAAAGTAACACTCCTGGACTGCTAACAGAAGTGAAAACTTATATACTTGTGTCGCGAGTTCAATTGTTTTTTTCCCTTCCCAAAAAAGCTTTCACCTCAACGGTAACAGTTCAATGGTTTTTTTTTCCATAAAATATATTCTTTTGTTTGTTGTTCAAAAATGACCAACACGCCTAAAGAAGTTTTTACTTAAAAAATTGTGCTAGTATATAATAATATAACTAGCTGTACCTTCTACCCTGCCACGTTAAATAAAATAGATAAAAACCATCTTTAAAGCGTGTTGTAAATCGTGACAAAATTTGTTTTCATTACTTATAACACGTTGACCGCCAAAGACGCATTAAAGCGTCATTCAATAACTTTATCGAGACGCCAATGACGTCTTAAAGCGTCCACCGCACTTTATTCCGGAGAATAAAACTTGGCTAATGTTGATTTTCAGAATCAGGAACATTTATAAGAGTTAATCTTTAATTCGACTTCTATAATCATGCTTTAAAGCAGTGAGATATAGGCTCATTATTATTAAAAAAATATTAATCCGATATGATTTATAATAACTAATCAAATAAGCAGGTAGCTTCAAAAATTCAGGTGACAGGTAAGTTCACCAGCATCTTAACCCGTGTTGCACACAAATATAATCCTATAATCCTAGCAGCAACTGAACAAGATAAAAAAAGTTTCTTTTTTAAATATATTTATTATTTAGCATAGTACCTAGTTTGTTTTATTTTTACCCTCGATACATAAATTATTGTCTCTGCAATAAATATTTTGCCAGTGGCTAGTGGATGTATTCACTAACGAGATTACTGTCACTTTCAAAATTTGAATAAATTTTTTACTATAAAATTTGCTCCTATCTAAAGCTGTTACTTTGGTGAAATGATTATTTAGGTGAGAAGTGAGATGAAATATGGATGAATTTTGTAAAACTTTAATTTTATGAGTATTTTTTTTATTCGTAAACCTCAAATGCACATGTAAAATGTATCAATAATTTATCGACATAATTTTGCCTGGCACTATTATCTTAAAGGTATGAAACAAGGTCAACGGGCCTGATGGTCTAGTGGTTAGTGACCCTGACTGCTAAGCCAGAGGTCGATTCCCACCCAGGACAAATAATTGTGTGATGAGCAAGATGATTTGTTCTGTGTCTGGAATTTATCTATAATATGTATGTATTTAGAAATATTTAAGTATGTTTATCAGCAGTCTGGTTACTGTACAGGCTCTTGTCCACTTTGGAATTAGATGGCCGTGTGTGAGATGTGTGAAGTTATTGAGATGTGTGGTGTAGAGAGCAGTTTTTCGTTATTGATATGGCGGTCAAAGGGTTAATAAAGATTTATTACTGTGATGTATTTACTGTGAGTTTGAAAACACTCCTACCAAAAATATGGAGTGCCATATAAATTTCCAAACCCGATTTTGCACCTTTACAGGTGGAATATTTTGAATTCTTCCTTAGTGCACATCTATGTCACCTAAGGAAAATTTCGTCATAGTCGTAGATCCAACACCAGTTGGATCTGACAGTTTTTAAACTTTACAGGGCAGAGAACTTTTAAAATAATTGTTATTTTTTTGACATAACTTTTTAAGTCTAAATCTGTAATTATGAAAATTGGCATACAAGTGAAAAATAGGGTTTGTTTTAAAAAGTAAAGGGTTTTTTTCTAGAATGTAGTTATGATATATGGACAATGTAGTATCCAAATATGGTAAAAACTGAAAGTTTTTCAAAACCAACATTACAATCATGACAATTTGAGCAAAATTTCATGCTTCTAGACCCAGTGGCTTAAGCTATACGTTGATTAATCAGTCCAAGAAACAGTTGGCCACTTTCTTTTTTTATAGATAATATTCTACCACATTCAAACAATGCCATCTAATCCCAAAACTAAACAGAGCTTGTACTATGGGTACTAGACAAATTATATAAATACATGCATGATACTTTTTTTTGTAAATCTTTACATATTATTCATAAAAACACCCAAACCAAATCAAATGTTAAATGTTCATGCCCACAAAAATGTTTGCCTTGAGTGGGAATCAAACCCAATAATCAGTAAGTAGATGTAAGTTTATAAAATACTTACAAGTGTGTTTGTTAATGACTTGCTGTCTTTGTTGAAATAAATGTTTTTCTGTGACATGCTGAATTTCCATAAGTCCAATTACTATTTCAAATACAGTTTCATTAAGCAGACAATTGGCCAACCCAGACAGAAGTTCTATTGGTACTCTCATTTGATATTTTCTGCAAAATGATTAAATATGAAATTGTAGATGACTAATCTAGTTGTGATTAAATCCCTGGGTGCTGGAGAATCATCAATCCTCATCAACAGCCTATAACAGTCCACTGCTGGACATAGGCCTCTCCTTAGAAAGGAGGTTGCTGAGGTGCTGGAGAATGATTTGCTTCAATTGTACTTAATTGTAGTTGTACTTAATAGTTTTATATTTCATTAAAGTTGTAAAATTGTTTTGTCAGTAACCTAAGTTACTGTAAGTAAAACTTACGGTGGTAATTCTCTAGCCATTTCCTGGAGTTGTTCTAGTAGAAAATACAATTTTCGCTGTAGAGCTTCAGGTGTCGGTTCACCTAATTCCATTTTAAGATCGCGTTTAATTATAATTCAGAAATTGCCGCAGAGGTATGGAGTTCTTAATAAAAAAGGTGCATAATAAATAAAGTTTAACAAATGTATTCAAGTTTAAATATTAAAGTTTAGCTATAGTTATTTCTGGGAATATTTGCAATATTTTGTAAATAAACTTCAAACCGCACGTCTATTGTCATTATTGACATTGACATTCTACAAAATTTTTGGTAGGTTTTTCTTTAGATTTCTTTTCTTTCTATTTTAGATATTGGCAAATTGGCATCATTTGTGTACACCAAATAACACTGCAATTTTGACTCGATGTATTTCATATGGATTTTATATTTATCAACAATAATTTCGTCCTCATTCTTAATCTTAAAAAAATACTATTAAGGGTATACCAGTAAGGTGAGAGTACGCTAAAAATCATAGGGTGTAACCAGTGCGTCCTACCCGTAGCGATATACGGACCCGAGACCTGGACACTCACCGTTGGAGGTTAGACTGTTCCACAAGTTTAAAGTTGCTCAAACGGGCGATGGGGTGTACTATGCTGGATGTATCTCTAGTTGATTAAATTCGTAACGTAGTTAGTCTACAGAGAACTAGTGTATCCGACATCACACGAAGAATCTCTGCACGGACTGATGGTCACTGAAGCCAAAATATGCCAAAGTTGAGCTTTTCCTTCTCTTTGCAGTGTTATTGTTCTACATAGTTTGCTCCCTTAGTCGGTTTTTATGACACCCACGGGATGAGTAGGGGTGGTGACACTCTGTATTCTTAATCAATCACCCGACGGACACCAACTTTATAAGGCGCGGCCACTTACAAAATTACTGTTCTCATCTCTTTGCAAGGGCACCCCAATACCAGCTTCTCCCCTTGGCCTGCATTTAATGGAGAGCGACATTTCTGATTGGTTGTACTTTGACCCCTTTGCGCTGCGCAACTAAAGTATTACTCTGCGATCTCTATTGATCATATGGCGAGTGCTCCGAGGAATTATTCGGACTACTACCGGCCGCAGCTTTCTGCGATCGTTTCACAAGATAAAACATCCATCGCCATTCCCATAACTTGGATAATGGGAATGCACTTTTCAAGATAGTTTTTGGCCTGTAAAACCAATCTGTAAAACAAATTGTCCGAGCGGTACGAGCTCCAGGAAAAGACTGTACTCCCACCTCAAAGGCCGGCAACGCGTTTGTGACTCTTCAATTGTACGGTAATACGTGGGTGGCAGTAGTCATTGCTCTTTTGCTGCCTATATCTATAAAAAAGATACTTTATCTACTACTATAAAAAAGATACTGTTTCAGTTAATAAAAGAAAATAAATTCTATAATTGAATTTAAAGTTTTATATTTTTCAGCCAGCCGCTATGACATTATGCGACCACGCCAATGAAAAATGAAGTGAACATTTTATTTTTCATATTTACACTTCTACTATCGACCAGTGCCGGATTCAACCAGCGCGGAACCTATAGCAAATTCTATTAAGGGCCACTTGAATGGTTTTAGGTTATCTAGTTTATGGTATTCATCATCATCGTCATCAGCCTGTCCAAGAGTCCACTGCTGGACATAGGCCTCTCCTAAGAAAGGAGGTTTTTGCCACACTGGCAAGACGGGCTGGTTATACCTACCAGTCTCAAACTTGAAACATACCCTATAGAGTCAAGTTCAAGTTTCAAGAAACCAACCATATATGGTTTGTTTTAAGTTTGAGTCGTCGACCCGCGTCGTATGGTGTTCCACAGGCCTCTGGTCTTAGGCCCCTCCTGTACGACATAGGGTACGACTGGCCCCTTCGAGGAGACTTCCCCTCCGCGCTGAGCGTAATCCGTTACGCTGACGACACTTTGGTTACAGCCTGTGGGGTGAACTTTCAAGAGGCGATGTGCCTGGCTACCAGAGGTGTCTCTATGGTGGTCAGGCGCCCTGGTTTATGGGTGGTTTGGGGCCCTGGCTCTAGGGCCTCAATCGTGGTCCTCGGTCCTCGTCCTTGATTGGAGGTGGCTCTTCAACGAGCACTTCCGCCAGTTTACTCCAAAGCTGGTCTGCCCTTAGGCGACTTTTGCCCAATTTAGGTGAACGCAGCATCGCGAAAAGATGGCTGTCAATGGCACTGCACGGTGCACCAGTGTGGACGGCGGCTCTGAACGCCCAGAATAGGGAGCGCCTCTGACGCCCTCATTTGACGGTTAGAACCATACGTGGTTACCGCACAGTGCTTGCCTAAGTATATCGGTGGACAGCTGAGTTCCGGACAGGGAGCGGCGTCGCCTCTCAGCGACAAGTAGTGTGAGGCCGCTCGCCGAGCTATGGTAGTCGTCCCAGTTGGAGGCTCCACATGCTGGCTTTGCCGCCTCAGAGGCGCACCAGCCGGTCATCGTTGTAAGATATTGTCTAGCTATGTGAATTTAATATATGTCATACACAAATAATGTGTCCCTACATCGTCAAGTGGGCAGGGCAGGGCAGCACGGACTCTTTCCTTCGGACTGGCTCAGGTCCTTTCCGGGCACGTATGATTCTGCACTCGGTAACTAGGAGAGAATTGAGTTTCACCTGTTATCACTGCGATTGCAGTGAGGAATCGGCTCGGCACACGCTGGCAATTTGCTCGGCTTGGGCGTCGCAGGACGCAATGCACAACATAATTTCTGGTGCAACCAGCGCTCACTTTTAGAAATGTACTAAAAGTTTAAATTATACATTGGACATTTAGATGCAATTCTTTCGTGATAAGAATTGTGGCTACATTGATTTTAAAAATATTTTATGATTTACCCTTCGATCAAAATATGGAGAAGGGTGCTTCTACACAATGCAAGTAGCTGGCGCATTTTGAGGCACTTGCGCAGGTTATTTGCTTCGCGAAAAGGACTATGCGGGTCCAGCGACTCGAGCATGTACTAGCGCAGGTAACCTCCTACCCTCTGCGGTGCGCTCGGGCCACTCGCGCCGGTTACTCCCGCAGGTACAGACAGCTACTTGCACCGTGTACAAACATCCTGGTACTGAACTGTGTCAAATCTGAAACGAGTAAGACGCGTACACTGTGTGTGTACGCGTCTTACTCGTTTCACATTTGACACACACACACACATACACATTATATGAATCAAACATCTGTTCTCTCTCTTCATATTATATATTAACTGTTAATTTGTTCACTCCTTAACTTAAAATTTTTCATTGAATTAGTACTAATGTATTTTACTATAAAATGTGTAAAAATATTTTTTTCAAAATTTAATTTCATGGTGTCACTTTGTCAACACTAACTATAAGTATATAGTATATATAATCCCGAAAATTAAAAAGTAAGTGTACCATTTCAATCTTCACGGTCAACTAACATTATTTTTCAATAAAAAAGTACGCAAAAACTTGAAATGCAATCCGCAGTCTAAGCAAGTACACAAAATAAGTTATGTACGGATCTCTGTGGTTTGTTTAGGATAATATATAGTGAATTCATCACTTGTCACTGTCAATCACAGTTGTCACTCTTGTCAATCTGTTAGTAACTTCTTTGTTAAGGACTTGAAAACAAAATATTTTTTTATCGACTGACTTTAAAAAAATAACTATGAATGGTTTTTATTTGGCCTTGTTCTTTATACTACAATATTCCATGAAACTAAAGGCTGATATACCAAACAACAATCCTCAAAATTGGGATCCGTTAGTATTTTAAATCTATAATTAAAATAGGAGCTCTTATTTTATTTTAAACCATATTTTTAATACAAATTATTCAAATTTTCAGGCCATACTTAAGTAAAGACCCAGAGCCAATGAACTGTACTACAATTGTAAATGCATTTGCTCAGTATGCATCAGATCTTACAAGATGTTCTATTATGTATGCTAGACCTATCACACTATGTGAGAATTGTATAAAAGAGTATATGAATTTCCACACTAAGTATCAAGAGTTACTGACGACCGTAGTGAATGGAACTTCTTGCAAGTCTATGTTTATATCACAAGACCGACTGGATGCTGTTCTAGAATATCATGACAATATACTAAGTATTTGGGACAAAGGACATTGCAATGGTATTTATGACAAATTTCCCTTACTGCATATTTCTCTTAGACCATTGAAATGTCTAGATAGACCGTCAATGCTTTTTAAGCTTTAAAAAATCCATCTTTTAGTTATTAAGTTTTTTCTAAGCAGATTCTTTTTTATAAACAACAGCGGGCCTAAACTGTTTTATAGTCATTGAACACAATGATTGTAAAAGATGGCTGTCATGCCCACCAGCACAAAAAAGTGCACCTGTGTGTTTTAGTTGTTTCATAGTGCAACATTCCATCGAGGCATAAAATTAAATGATCTAAGAAATGTCTATTTATAAAACATTTATCTTCAATGAAGCTTTTATGTAGCTATAATATTAACAAAGTTCAATTAGTGTAAGTCTCAATGGTGTATATATATTTATTCACACAATGTGTTGGATTTCTGGATATCAAACATATTTTTTTTATAAAAAAGCTTATTGGTCATCTGATGGCCAGTGAATACTTCCACCCATGGACAACTGCAGCTCAAAGAGTCACAGAAATGTTGCTGCCTGTTGAGTCCCCTCAGAATCAAGGCATTTTTTCATTGAAATGTGAGGTGTAAGGCAATTGTTTCATTGAAGTGTGAAGTTTGGGCTCTGGTAACTTCACTTGTTTAGTGAAAAACAATCGAAGAATTGTTTTACACTTTTGCCCTGGGAGATATTGGTGTCATTCTAGACAAGCCGGCCCATTTGTGCTGAAGCATGGCTCTCCCACAACTCTTTCATATTGTCTGCACAAACATATAGTAGGACCACAAGAAAACCCCCCACCACACCAATAGATATAAACTATTTTTTAAATTTCAGCATGTTACGACTGGTCTAATCCAGCAGCACCTACTTTATCAAATCAAACAGTTCACTTCAACACATTATATAAAGAAACAAATAATTGTATACAGAAATATACTGCAGAAAATAAAAGTGAAGTGTGTAATAAATGTATGCAGGAGTATCTTCAGTTGGATGATTATTACAAAACTCTTAGTGAAGATGCTGTAGGCGTGGACAGCATTTGCATGGACGTTTTTGACTCAGTGTGTAGTTATTTTTTAATTATCTACTTATATTTTTTAAGATATGTATTTTACTATACTATTTTAAGTGCTACCATAAATGGTTGTTTAACTATTTTATCACTAGACAGCTTTTAACAAATAATACATATGATCCCTGTGGTTTAAGGGATCGCAGAAAATTTCAATGATTTTCGACTCAGTGATGGTCTGAATACGCTATTTCAGTATTTGTTATACACCCTGTATGAATTGGTTTAAGAATTATAACTATTATATTATGTCTTATGTAATGTAACAGACTGCCTGAGGGTTTTTTTTTAATGTTAATACTTAATGCACAAGTACTATAAGTTGTATACAATGGCAGACTTAATGCCACAGGCATGTCCTCCCAGTTTACTTTAGGGTTGTGCTGAAAGTTGTGGAAAATGAAAGGAAAATCTAACTTGGCATGTGAGATTTTATACTGTAGTAGAAAGGAAAAATTTTGTGTACATGTACAGTACTGCAGTCACTTAATGGTCACTATAGTATCATCCAAAATTTTCAGATGAATGCAACAAGATCAACTTGGAGTAAAACTTATAATTGTTGTAAACTCAGAAGATCACCTGAAATAATATTTTTATGCTGTGCAGCGATTATATCAGCTTTACCACTATTTTATTACATTATGTTGAGATATTGTGGACCCATCAGAGACTTTCCCAATGTCCTAAAACGTAAGTACTAATTTTTTGAAGTTTAGAAGGTTAGCTCTAAAAAATGCTGATAAAAAAATGATGATGATAAAAAATGATGGTAGGTACCATCTCTAATAATAAATAAATTTAGTAATGTGTAAGCACATTGATTCAAACTACCATGGTCAATTATTTTACTTAATAAATTATTATAAACTGATTTCACTTGATAAGTTATTATAAACAGGATATTTACTGTATTTTTTTTTAAATTAGTTTCTGATATTTTGGCAAATTACTACTACTACCAAATTACTACTCATTCCTGGAAATAAACATAGTAAATATTCTGTTTATAATAACTTATCATGTAGGTACACATACACAGTAGACAAAGAAAAATGTATGTTCAATTAATTTTTATTATAACTAGCTGACCCGGCAAACATTGTTTTGCCATATACATTATTTCTAAGAAATATTGAAAAAAATATTAGGATTGGGTCACCCTTGTCATTTAGGGGTATGAAAAATAGATGTTGGCTGATTCTCTGACCTACCCAATGTGCACAGAAAATTATATAAATATCGGTCCAGCCGTTTCGGAGTATGGTAACTAACATTGTGACACGAGAATTTTATATATAAGATTATGATCTTGTCATTGAATGTTATATCATAATATAGTCGGTATATACATATGTATAATATGTATGTATGTATGTAATGAATACTGACTATTATATATATGTATAATACAGACGGTATTCATTGGATTATACATAAGCATAATGCAAGGCAGGGCAATGGCCATTAGAGTTTGCCTGACAGTTAATTTTTCTTTTTTTTACAGAATCAAGATTCAAGCAAACTATTTTAAGATCAATAAACAGAAGAATAAACTAAGATTTAAAATAAAAAGCATTAATGTAACAGTAACATTGTATTTACATTGGACCAAAGAAATAAAAGTTATTTTGTTAAAATGACTCATGTTGATATCTGATATAAGTACAGAGTTTATTAATAAACTACTTTCAGTTAGCTGTGGATGGAGTTACCTATGTCTAGCTTTCTTATTGTTATTTTTTTTCATGCTATTACTATTATTTGAACTACTGTTTGACATTTTGTGCTTCAAAGAGTTTGGTGTCATGTCTCCTTTGTTCATGATGTTCATAACAGAGTCTTTGTCCTTTGGTGTTCCGGGTCTGCTGTCTAATCCAACTGCTGATAACATTTTACTATCACTATTGAAGGCTTTTTGGAGCATACCAGAAGATGTGGCTATTTTCTGTGTAACACTTTGTTTGGTTTGTGAGTGGTTGATAACTTTCTCAATGCCTCCATTAGTATGTTGTTTGCCCGAGGGTTTTGATGCAATACTCTCTGTAGATCCATGTATAGTAGTGTGATTCAAATTTCCCATACTCATTCCAGTGCTAATCTGTGTATCTGATGAATCTTCATTTGTTTGAGACTCTGTTTCACTGTTTCTTTCAGCTGTAAAGAAAAATGGAAATAAATAATATGTACAATTAAAATGTATTTAAATTTATTAAAAATATACTTACTTTTAGCTTCAGCTGGATCCACTAGACCACTGACAGCCTAAAAAATCAATATAATTTTTAAATTTTAAAGAATTAATCAAAAGTGCATAAATGATTCAGCTCAGAATCAAAACAAATGGTTAGTTTACAACTTACAGCCATAGATGTGATACTGGATTTAGAAAACAGACGCTCAGCTTCTTTAAACTTTCTGTTACGTTTATCTGCTTTTGAATTGGTGCTTTTGTTTGTGGTAAGGTATCTGTCCCATCCTCTGATAATGTTTCCATACAGTTGTGTGTCTTCTAGGTATGATCCTTCAAAAGCATAAATTTGACGTTCTAAGTTGGCTAGGGTTTCCTGTAAAGAAACACAAATAAAAAATAGTCCTATCCTGTATTGAATTCAAGGTATATTTAAAACTTACTGCGACTTCAGCTTTTCTTTTAACTAACTCTGCCAACTCTGCTCTAGTATCGGCGACTGAGGATTGTTTAGACGCCATGTTGATTCTTTTTGCTTGCACGCTTTGGGTATCGTTATCGGGGGTTTGCGGTGAAACAACCATGACGACTGCTGAGATAGCCGTACTCTAAACACCCATAGTTTTTAAAAATAAATATGTAGTAGTTTCTGTTCTATGAAGGCTAAGTAAGTACTGTAAATATCAATGTGGACGCAAATCCTAACAGCTTACACGACTGACTGACTGAGGTTTAATTAATGGACTTTGTTTGTCACACCAGTGTCAGATAGATTGACAGATGCACAGATGATGTAGAATAACCATGAAAGACACACAGATTAAATAGACTAAGACAAAGAATATAATAAAAATAACAACGATCAGAAGTGAAAAAAATGACCTTTGTTACCTTTCTTGCTTAAATAACATTAAAATAAAGCTCACAATCCACATAATTATATCAGAAAACATAATCACAGAGACAGAGAAACAGAGAGACATGGATGTATTAATGTTTTATCGATTTCTAACTAGGTATTTACAAATCGCTAATAACACTATCGCTCGGTGATAGCGATTAGCAACACGACACTCGGATCGGTCGGATTGTATGAGAGCCAGCGGTCTGTGTTGGTAAATAAATCCAAAACAATACAACTGTTATTTTTGTAATAAATGTGTCATGTGTCATAGATGACAAAAAGTGACAGATGATGTTTAGGTTAGTTTAAATAAAAAACACTATCTTATAGCTATCAGATAAAAAGCTGAACATCCTAATTTACTGATGGGACATCGAGAACTTAAATAATGCTTACAGGGGTCTGATCGGTCTGAGCCAAGTGTGTATCTCGATTTTATAATGTCTATTAGTTACATACCCCGAGTAACACAGGTAAGAAATTATGAATACAAATGTAAATAAATAATTACTGTATCTATCAAGTAATTTTGTTTGTAAAGTATGTCCAGATTTAAAACTAAGAAGTTACAAGACCTAAACTTTCTTTGTAGGTTAAATATATGTAAATGTAATGTTTTTACAGTTGGATGCTGTACAACTAGATAATCAAGTTGAAGAACTATTCAAACAGTTATTTTTCCAAGCTACTAAATTTATTAAGGTAAAAAACCATTATATATGTCTTACGTTCTGCATTGTTCTTAATTAATGAATTAATATACTTAATTTATTAAAAGTAGTTGAAACCACTTTTAAGTGGTAAAAGTAAACTAGTAAAATGTGTCAAGATTTATAATATTTATAAAAGCGTTGTTTCAGCCTAGACTTCTACAGCCGGTGTTGCCTGAACTTGAGCTTCTGATAAGAACATGGATTTTCAAGTATTCAGTTGTAAATCAAAAAAGCACTTTTGGCCATCAAATGCTATCTCTGAAATATAGACCAGACAATTTTGTTAAAAGTAAATTGTATTGGTACTACGGGTATACTATTGGTTTAAAATACTTGAAAGAAAGAGCAATTTATAGTTTCACATCTAATACAAAAGTTCAAAATTTTGTTCATAAGCTAGAAACATTTCAATTAATAGCAGACATATTAAACTTTTGTAGATTTATTCAAACTGGTAAATATCCCTCAGTCATAGATTTCATGTTAGGGCTACATTTGACTGCCGACAATTTGACAAGGGAGGACCTCACCGATTTTTCCTGGACCAGAGAGCTTCTATGGCACAACTTCATTGTAAGTTTACTTTAGAGGGCTTTGGTACTATGCATTAGCTTTTTGTTATACTTTATACACATCTTATTTGATAAATATGATGAAAAAATAAAATATAATTTAATTAGTGGTAAGTATTACAAGCAATAGTCGGAGTAGTTCAAATGTTTTTATGGTATTAACTTGGATTGCTTTGCCAATTATGTTCGAAAATACCTCCCTAGAAAAATTTTGATTTTCGAAATGGACTTAATTATTTGAGTATTACTAGATGAACTGCAGTCAAAATATATGTACTAAAATGTGCTTAACATCTTTCATATTTATTGTTTTTTTATAAAATGAATCATATCAACAGCCTTTGATAGTCCACTTCTGGACATAGGCCTCTCCTTAGAAAGGAGGTTAGGAGGTTAGTAGAAAGGAAAATGAATAACTTTTATTAACTCTATCACAGTTTTATTAAATTTTTGACAGTTTTTGTTTTTGTACACCATAATCTGTTTTAGTGCAACCTAATAAATATATTTTTTCTATGTTCTACTTGTAATTGTAACTATCATAACTTTATCTGTTTGCTACTTGTATTTATCTGTAATTTTTTTAATAAATAAATACAAATACAAAACAGTATAGTACATAATAGTCACAATGGTTATTTATTTACGGGTCACCTAATTGAATGTGGCCCTACACCTATTCCTGGGTCCCAATTCCCAGGTACTGGTGCACAGTCACATCTATCATGCGATAGACCCGACACCCGCATGGTGAATCCATTGAACGCTAAGAACTAGGTCTTTAATGTCACATACAATGAAATAAATGTTTAATTTACAGGAGCTGATCGGTACAACAATAGCTTTGATAAATATTTTTGGTTTGAAGAGAAAGCTGTCTAGTCTATTGAAATATGTGTGGTGGCGTAAACACGTGAGATCGAGTGTTGCTGGTAATAAAGCTACTATGACAATAAACACTGTGTGTGCCTGCTGTGGCAATAACCCAGTTCTGCCACATACTATGGGATGCAGCCATATATTTTGTTACTATTGTTTATCGGTAAGTCAATAAATGCCTATCACTACTTTTAAGTCATATTCAAATGTTGAAGTGATTGGTTTTGGTCGCAGTGATTTTACCTAAGATTGTGATTTGGTTATAGGCAAAGATTTGACTGAACGGATGCCGTAGTGGTTTAGGCGATCGCCACGCCGCTTACTACTACGCTGAGTTGTGGGTCCGATCTCCACATGGGATGACACTTTGTGTGATCCACAAATTGTTGTTCTGAGTCTGGGTGTACTTTGTGTCCATTTCATGTATAATTATTAAGTCCCCCGCCACAGGATTTATTCCTAATGCGGGAGTTGCTTTTTTTTTTAGTCTTTAAAATCAATTAAAATTCACTTTTGTTGATTTTTTATATTTATATCTTTCTCGAGTCTGGCACTAGTGTAATAAGTTATTATTACCCTAGGGCCAGACGTGCGAAAGATCTAGAAAACCATTAATTTAGAAAACATATAAAATAATATAAGATAATTTATTAAATAAGGCTTATTATTAAATAAATTACAGTGGTTTTCTAAATTAGTCACAGGTTTCTTTATATGATTAATAAATCATTTATCACGGGTGATTGTAATTTTATTCTATCCCTAATGGATAGATACATGTGCCCTCTGTCAGGTTGAGATAATGTCAACAAAACGTTGACTAACTATACCACTAAAAATATACACAAATAGAATGAAACTATACTGAAATTGGGTTACTAGTCTGGCATAATTTAAAGCAATAAAGATGGAAAACAATAATGTTCAAAAATAAAATCATATTCCAGTATATAAGAAAATATTTAGAATGACATATTGTGAATTCAGTTAAAAACTGTTTAGTAACGTTAAAACTTGTTCTGCCGTAATCTCATATATTTGATGAAATTCAACCAAAGAATTCTAATGACTAGTTTTTCTAATGTCATACATTTTTTTCAGGCCAATAAGATTGCAGATCAAGAGTTTGCCTGTCCGAAATGCTATTATAATGGAAAAGAAATTAATAAGTTTGTAATGACTTAACATTTCAAGCAATTTTTTAAATGGTTAATATTGGTGCTGTGATATTTTTGTTTATGGTAAATGTGTAGGTATCTATTACTTTTTAAGTAGGTTATAGTTAAGTGTTAGTGTTACATTGTTTGGTAAATTGAATAAAAATGCTTACACTATTTAAGGTTTCATTTTATTTAATATTAAAAATAATTAATAATGTATTTGCTTAGTCACATCAGTCACATTGTTTGTCGTTAAAATTTACATTGTCGTTATAATTTATATTATGTCTACATAATAGTATTATGTAAATAATTTTGACTAAACTGTCCTTATAAAAGTAATTAACAATATTATAATGATATTGTTAGAGAAGTGATTTCTACAAACTGAAATTACTATTTCAATGGCACGTAAGTTTCTTGTATCATTAGAACAGTGAGGAATAATAATGAAATGATTGTAGTGTGCTCTGCATTTCACCGATAGACATCTCGTCGGCATTGGACATAAATATCAACTTATTGGTAAGAAATCTGATAATAATATTCTATAACTAAAGCCTCCCTGAACAATCAAATCTGACCATACAACATCTCATTTCACAATCCCTACAAAGGATTTTGACATTACCCACTACATTTATAACTCAACAGTGTTGCAGTATATAGGTACATACTTTAGGTTTACTTAAGAATCTAAAACATCTATTTAATACGATACATATGTCCTTTATATCTTAAATGTATTTACATTACTTTTGATTGCGACATACCAGCCGGCCCAATGAGGCTGGACTTCCGACCGAATCGAATCTGTTTCACTAATATATTTACAATCGTAGGCTGCTTAAAAACAATAATTTACCTAAGTAAGGTATGCAGTAGTACAGGCCATGGTGCATTTCTGAATAAATTAATCATCTAATTCTGTTAATAGCTGCTGAATTTTTTTGCTATATCTTTTTTAAAATAAATACAATACCTATGGTTTTACCTAAGTAAGAAAAACACTGCTTAGAATAAAATACACAGCAGATTTTATGCTTCATTATACCAATAAGTAACTACTATATTTTAAAATATGATTCTTTGTCAAATGGTAAACGTAAGAAGCATAGCACGATAAAAATATCCAGCTATATCTAATGTTGCTTGTCTTTGCTGTTGTGTACGTCGGCGTGGAAACCTGTGTCCCAATCGGCGACGTAGTTCACGGTACGCACGGAGCCGTCCGGCTCCACTAGAGAATACTGACCTGTGTAAATCAAAGTTACTATTTAATTAATTTATTTATTAATACTACCTGCATATCCATCGCATAATTGCATTTTCTTCTAGTTGACTTTTGGGTAATGCAGACCTATATGTGGCAGGTAATAATTGAAGCTAAGATAAATGACTTAATTATTAATTATCTCTTGCAAAACTCACTAAGTTTTTAATCCTGAAAACGATTACAGTTAGTTCGGGTGGTCCTCGTGGTGCCCGTTATACCAGTTTTGATAAAGACGGTTTGTAAGAATTACTTAAATCCTCTAATGCCCACTTACACATACTGTCATAGAGAATTTATAGATTGCATTATTATAAACACGACGACGACGATTAATTTAAGCGTTATGATAGTGATTCGTATTCCAAATAAAGTGGGATTTGACAATTTATTATAATAAATTATTATATCTATATTAATATGAATTTGTATTGTGGTATTGCATTTAGGATATAAAAAATCACCAATTTGTTAAAAGTTTAAGATAAAGAGTCGATTGGGCATCGTATCATATCAATCGGTCCCTCGATACATCGGGAAAATAAACTCGAATACTATCTCAAACACAAATAAAAGCAATTTATACGTATGTTTATCTTCCCTATGTCATGTTGTGGAAGAAAAAGCAAGAAATAGGATTGTATATCTAGAATCGAAAGTATACCCGATTTAAATTAAAGAAATATTTGTTTGTTCTTGTGTTACCTTTAACGACTTCTCCGTCTCTCTCCTCCTTCTGTTGCTTAATATCTCCAGTGTGGGGGTCGTTGACACTGTACTCAAAAGCATAGCGCGGGTTGGCGTCCTGTAAGAAGGGTTATCATAATTTAGATGGTGCCGTGAGAATGTCAGTCGCTATAAAGGTCGCAACGCAATTGAATGAACTTTACCATCCATTAACTAGGTTGGGTACCAACCTAGTAATAATAATGGAGTAGTCTGAACTGCTGCTTAGATTTAGATGTAATGCCAATATAAATTGGCCTTATAAGCAGCCATGCAGCAGCTTTGAGTCTTGTTATTTCTAGGCAGTAGTAATCGATCGATAGTGAATTCGAATCCCATTAATTGTGCTCAACACCAGCGTTTATTTTATTAATTTACGTGTAATACGTATTAATAAAAATAAGAAAATCAGTAAATCAAGCCAAATATAGCTTCCAATATGAGAATCTTTGTACATATTAGCTGTTATGAGCCGTACTACTAATATGCTTATATTACCTATCATAATATGATCTATTCTTCTTCGGAATGCGCTCTCAAAATTAGCTCTCTATCCATTATCCATTAACCAAAAATTTTTATTGGAGAGATATAAGTACGATCGCAAACATTTATGTGCATAATATTTCAAAACAAATTGTGGTGTTGAATATTTTTAATCGACCTGAATCAATCAAAATGAAGATGGCTACCTACATCCTTTTCTATTTTAGGTATTTGTAGGTATAAAAACTTTCATTCTAAGTAGTTTAGCAACGAAGTGATAAGAGATTAAAGCGTGACAAAGAAATAAACTCACTGTCCAGTCTAATATGCCTAATATCTAAGCTATATAGTTAATCTTCCTGCGAGCCTTTTGCCCAAACTAGGTTGGGTCGGCTTTAAGTCTACCACTATACGACTGAACTTCGATTTTTTACGTAGAGCGACTGCCATCAGACCTCCACAACCCAAGTACTAGGCGATATCGAAGTTCTGTAGGAAGACTGTTGTCGTTTTTTTTGGGCTCTAACTTTTCCTTTTTTTTTATGTTAGAGGGGGCAGACGAGCAGACTGGTCACCTGATGGAAAATGACCATCGCCGCCCATGAACGTCTGCAACGCAGGAGTCACAACGCGTTGCCGGTTTTCTCAAAATCAAGTAGTTTAAGTGGGCAAAAGCTTAAAAGAACTTCAAGTACTTCAATTAGAACCGAAGATATAGCGAAAGAAAGTTACGAATAGGTAAATAAAAAATGTACAGGACGAAATCACGTTCGAGTATAATTCGAGAAGGGTGAAAGGTAAAGGTATTTTACAATGCACGACAACTCTTTGCATCAATACCTATCATTAAAAAAAAAACAAATCAATTAAATGGAACGGCCAGACAAGTTTGGAATAGATTTATAATTTTTAAAAATGTAGATAGTAAAATGATAGACGAAAAACTCAGTTATTTTTGCATGAGTGCCATTTTTTTCTTCGTATAAAGTAACTGTGATTTTACATATTTGAGCACGTGGTCCGCAGTGTCAAAAAAGATCGTAGCGTATGTAGGTATATCTTGTTAACATAACCAGTCATCCAGAGCAAAATTTATTTTTCGTTTTTTTTGGATTCTTATCAGTTTGATATAAGAAGTCAGTGAGACGACAAAGCACCACTGAGTGAAAGTGGGCGAGATTCAATCGGACGAGTTTGCACTAATTGTTATGTAAGAGAATGTAGCAGATTTAACTTGTATGACGAAGCCTGGTGTCCTTGGTTTGATAATAAAATATTTGCTTATTCGTGTTAATCCTTGAAAAATAATGAAATGATAATAAATTGATGTAATAATGGTATAATAGCTTAATATTACTTCCAATTGTGAGATTACTCTAAAATGAGTATTTTTCTTTTTATCAAAAAATTACATTATACTTATTTATTTTCGATGCTAGTATAATGCTATAAGATTACTTTATTATACTTTTTATTAATATAAAAATTTAATGTTTAATTAAATACTTAGTTTGTATTTTATTTAAACGGAGGCGGTCCCCGACTGTTTTTTATTTATGTTACACACACTTTAAAAATAGTATTGAATTTAATGATTCTATATTTATTGGGTGTGACACTATATAATATATTAGGTAATATTTATTGGGTGGTTTATTGGTCAGACCTTACTGTGATTATCTACTTTTAAAGCTGCCGTTCATGTTTACAGTTTTTAGTAAGGACCGACTTATAGGTTTTTAAAATCTTAACCATAATTATGACTAGATTTATAGGTTTTAATGAAATCAGATCATCAAGACAGTTTGCAAGTGTAGGAAAATAAGATATTGTTTGAAAACCTGCACCTTCCCTTTTTAAATATTTTTTTTTAACCTAGAAAGCGATAGACTAGAGAAAAGCACAGTGGTAAGTAGTAGTAATACATTGTCATTGCAGAGGCTCTGCCTAGCTTAGAATCAGACGGCCGTGTGTGAAGTTATTATAATTAATTATTATTATTGTTAATAAATTGTTGCTAATTTTTGGATTATAAGTAAAGAAAAAAGTTGATGCCAACATTGATTCTGATATCAAATAAGTGAACATGAGCTTTATATTTCAACTTAATAATTAAATAAACTCACACATCTCACACACGGCTTTCTGATCCCAAGCCAGGCAGAGCCTGTACTGTGGTAATTAGACTGCTGATAAACATACTTATATATTTCTAAATACATACATATTATAGATCAATTATACCCAGACACAGAACAAACGATAGTGCTCATCATACAAATATTTGTCCTGGGTGGGAATCGAACCTCCGGCTTAACACTCAGGGTCACTGACCACTAGACCAACAGAACTGTCTTTTGAAAACAAACTTAATGCAAAATTGAATGCAAACAAGGTTTAAATCGAAGTATTTCTGAAAGTTTGAGATCTTCTTTAGTTTTTTAGTTATTCATAAAATGTATTGCAATAGCATTTTCGTAAGTAGGTGCACTGTGTATACATTATCTGCGATTGTGTACAACGAATGGACATCTTACGTAATTATATCTAGAATAAGTTTGTATCTAAACTAAATATTCAGTCTCAGTGTAATTAATTCTGTTGCCTTCACTTATTTCTAGGTCCGGCTAGGTAAATAATTTTCTAAGGGACTGAACTGAATAAAATATGTATATCATCTAGACACAATGACAATGTAAAGTAAATTAACTAATTCTTTTAGCTTTATTATCTTAGTTGTGGAGCATTTATTACCCACAGATATATATCGTCAATAACACGTAATGTTATACCTAAGTATTCAGAGAGTTGTAGACATAGGAATAAGTACCTAACTTTAAAATATTGACGCCTCTGCCTACGAATCATACATTTTTCAGATTCGGGCTAATTGCAGTAGTTTGTCTGTCTAGAATAAATTCCACAAGATGTTACTTTTTTAGGAAACCTTATGACCGGGCCAGAAATTACTTACAGCATTATAGAGATATTACTGTCTTTGTTATATTACAAAATATAGGTGATTTTTAAAAATATCTTTTTCAAGGGCAGTCTTGAACGCACTAAATGTTGTTTTATGAGCAAGCTATTAATCGAAATTAGCCTAGTGCATATCGATTTCACTGATGACCGCTTAAGGTTAGTAACTGTAACTAGACTTAGAAAAGTTAGAAGACAGTTACACTAAATACTTTAACATACCATTAGAATTAGATTGATATCATAAAGATAAAACTTGAACTACTAAATTACAGATATATACCAGTATAGTTAAGTCTTAATGTATACTTAGTGTTAATTAACGAAGATTCGTTGAGTTGAATTTATATAGTTGCTTCTGTAAGTTAACACTTTCTTAATAAAATTAGACAGTAGGTAAGTTAAACGGTTAAAAATAGTTATGCTAATGTGAATGCTATGTACAGTTGAGTTACTTTGGTTATTCGTCACATAATTACGACACCGCTGATATGAATTCGTACGTTATTATGTCTATCAATCTCACTGCGTCAATTAAAGTTGACATTTAAATTTTAAACACAATTTAAATTTCTAGCGGGGTTCGTGGACTATTGCACAAGTATTACATGTTAGTGCATATAACCACCTAAATATGTGACAGTTTGAAATATTTGAATTACCTATATAATCGGTCAAGATTTGGATGTTGCTGGACTAGTCCTACATCAAACTCGACAGCTAATCAAACAGTTACGTCATTGACTTAGTTGTAGGGACATGTAGCAGCTTATGGCATATCACCTATGCCGCAACATCCTACGAGTCAGTTATTTGATACACATTAACTAAAAGTGTACTTGCATATATAAACACGATATCTTTGTGAAATAATCAAGTCATCGCAATTTGAATAATAAATGAGCTGTATTAGTTTATGATAATTATGAGAGTGAAATAGACACCCAAGTTGTCATTAAATTAAATGTTAGTAGTCATCAATATCGTAATTCACTTATAATTATGAGATGAACAAGCATAAATTAAAAAAGTGAGCAAATAGTATAGATAATATGGTTCTAATAGAATATGGTCTGGAGCACAAATTACAGCTTTTAAGAATTATAGAGTGACGATTTGAAGTGACCTTATAAATCCTACCTACCTACATTATCGTGACTGATTAAAAGTGTGGCAAATCTAGAAAAATAAACGATAAGTATTTATGTTATCTGCAATGATATAGTGTTATTAAAATAAAATTTCACTTATTTATAATAATGTAAGAGATAATCTAAGATAAAATTATAGTAAGTATATTATTGAGCAACTAATAATGCCTAAAGGTAAAGGGTACTGTAATGAAGCAATTTATATATATAGTTTTATTATTATTCCACACAGGATTACAGGATGCCATCTCCATACACATTAATGCCACTCAATTTCATTCATTCTAAGAAGTATTGACACTGAAATTTTCCATTTTAAATAGAATGATAACAAAAAGTACTCACGTAATTCTCCAAAAAATCTTTGTGCACATTTTTGACGGCAATAGGTGTAGCTGGCGCTGAATAGTGCCGCTGAAAAGCTCCGGAATGTTGAGCTACTGCTGGTGCTGCATAATGTGACACTGATGGCGAGGAGTACTGGGTTTGAACCGTGTTTTGTGCGACGAGAGGTGTAGAGTACTGAGCGGTATTGGCACTGTCGTACTGTGATACGACAGGCGTGAAATATTGTGATGAAACTACTGAAGAAGATCCATGTGAGAGTGAAGGCGTAGCATATTGCGAGACTGCAGGAGCTACCTGAGCCACTTGTTGGTACTGGGCTTCAGCTGGCGCTGCAACGGAGGAATATTGTACAGGTGCTAAATATTGAGAATCTTGCTGTACTTTCAAGGCAGGTGACGTCGCGTAACCAGCAGAGGGAGCGGCATAAACCTCCGATACTACGGGTCCGACATGTACATTGCTGTTGGAGTACAGGGAAGCTTTTGCAAGGGATCCTGTATACGGTGCATGATGTATAAAGTTTTGTGAAGCATATGAAGTCTTAGCCGGAAGGAATTCGAATTTTGCTCTGAGAGGAGCCGCGGTTACTTTGGCAATGATCGGTGCATGGGCATATGTCGCTGAAGGAGTTATTGCCCTGCCGAGTGTTTCGCCTGATGATAGTCCAGCCGAGGTTGCGTAACCATGTACTTCCTTTCTGTTATATTCTTGGGCAGTAGCGTAATTTGATGCAACCGATAAGCTTTGGTAAGACGCGGCAGGCTGTGCAGCGTAGGTGATTTTTGGAGCAGCAGATTGGTAAGTGATGCCCGTTGAATATCCTGCTTGACCAGAATATTGATAGGCAGGCGCTTGAATGATTGGTTGAGAAACGACAGGAGCTGACGCAGCTGCAGTTTTGATTCCGGTGGTGGTCAATTGTACGGCAGGTGCAGAATATGAATAACCGTGGTCAAAGTTAGTTACTCTTTGTACTTGGCTTAGGTGGTAGTTCAAATCAGGATCATGATAAGCGAGTGCCAGTTTTAAGCACAGTGTCAAAATGATTACCTGAAATAAGAAAAAATAAAACATTTTATATAATAAATTCATTTCACTACTGAATCAAGTTTAATATTTTATAATTAATTGTAGAGTCATACCAACAAATTACTTAATAAATAAACATTGCTCACCGGTTTCATTATAAAGTTGATCGTATGCACTAGACAAACAATATTATCCTACTGAATTAAATTTCGGTAATATTAATATTAAAATGCTGAAAGCAGGTATTGTATTTGCCAAACTTAAGCGTAAATCGAAATGAGAGCAAAATGGGTCCGCAAAGTCTTATATAGCGATCTCATATGTGTAAGAACGGGTCATACTTTTTCACATTCGCCGTCACAGTGAGTAAAGGCAGCAACTCGGTGGGCGCGGCACGTGTGGGTAACGTATGGCTTATGCTACGTTACCGGGTATTACTAATGCTACACTTTATGCTAAATAACTTTCCAGTTAACTAAATCAATTTGGTTTGCGATACTTAAATATGAACAAAAATAATTCAAGTTAGCAATTGATTGAGTTGATTTTGAGTGCTCGCATTCTGCAACTGTTTGAGGTCGCTTCGCTATAGCTGTAAGACTGAGCGTCTGCGTTCGATTAACCATCGGAACTATTTATGTGCTTCCCTTAATCTATGAATTAGAATATAAGCTTTGCATTACCTGTGGATTGAGCTTTGGTTGAGATGTCGGTATGTTGTTTACAAAAAAAGAAACAAGAACTTAAAAAGACAAAAATATGAACGTACAGTAAAAACTATTTGATAAGACGGTTGAAAGACGACCGGTGCTGACTATTTCGTGAACCTTTCGTGACTGTAACAAAATATGACACATTTAAAGTTATTTCTACAGACTGGACACTATAAATCTGAGAATTAAAGCGATCTTGATTTAGTACAGTCAGCTACAAGAGTTCCTTAACGAGATTACAAAACACTTAATAAAATAAAATGACATAAATAATTATCGCAACTAGAGTACACATTAGAAATTTACAGAATTCACTGAACACCATATTTACAATAAATGCCTAATATCGAAATTCCATAAGTAAATGAAAAACAAGCGATACAATATCTTGTGTTAAACAAAATTTTTTTGGTCATGATACCCAATATTTTACGGAAGGTGTTAATTTCAAATATTATTTTAATAAATATTAAACGCGTGTTTATTTCCATCTAACACTTTATCCAGCTTAATTAAATTAACCATATTAACTATAATCATGTCCATGACATTATATGACCTATGTCCAGCAGTGGACTGCGATAGGCTGATGGTAATGATGCATTATAAAAATAATTAATTAGTTTGTGTTACATTCTTTTGCATAGGATCAAACTACAGTTAGCAAAATGTGGCTACCTTTCTGTGGGGAGATACAAGAGTGAGTTGAGTTGAGTTCCTCCTACACACGCAGATACTTCGTAGTTTGAATATCATGAGCGAAAAAGTTAGATTTAAGTAAACATGTAGTAAACACAACATGGTTTTCTTTTCACTTACCAATGGTATATTGAAATTAAGCCATTAATGAAAAAGCTGTCTTCAACGAATTTTGGAAGTCTCTGACATTAAGATTATTTTATACTCAAGTTGCAATTGTTACAAATGGGATATTATTGGTTCAGGTGTTTTGAATATGTTAATAGACTTTTATAGCTAACTGTACCATAACGTTTCTCTGATTGTGGTAACAAATCAAGTTTGATTCCAAACCTAACTTGTTCATGCGACATAGAAATACTTTATCTATTGTTTTAATAATCCACTTACATTTAGAACGCAATATTTTTGAGTATCTTTTAATAAATAATTCATAAAAGTTGTAAACTATGTATTTGATCACATGACATGCCACGACATGACAGCGTGACAAATGGGTTGATTATTCTTCTAATGCATTTTATGAGCTTAAAATAGGTGACTCAGACCCAATGGTAGACTGATTGTCGGCACAATGAAAATAGTATAAGTCTTTAACGCTAAGAATTTATTTAACTATAATAGTCAATAATTTTGCAATCTTGTATTTGTATCGCTCAGCAAACTAGCTTCCAAAACAGACACGTTTTACTCGAGACCTAGTTGTAATATTCGTACTCCGAGCTAAATCTGTTCAAACCAATATTTTATTAGTTCCGAGTGTTATGTGCCAACATTGTTTTTGCTTGTTGAAGGATGCAACATAGGGGATTTGATAATGTCAAATTAAGATTGTTTATTTGTAACGATTTCAAGCCTTAACTACTCAAGCGATTATTCATAAAGTTTGGTTAAGGACAAGGATGAAAACGACATAGGATATAGGTTTTCATATCAATTAATATTTAAAAATACTATTCGCGAGAGCTAGAAAAGTATTGTAAATTTTACGCGAGCGAAGCAAAAGCTAATTTACCATAAAAAGTGATAGAATAGTCCGTCCAACTTAATGTCCTTATTTAGAATCTTCTGTATCTTTTAAAATGGTTTGCTTCCTTTCTAGTACACTATAGGCTCCGGATTTCTCATCTCTAAAAAAGAGTATTTTTTGAGGATTACACTTTTTAAGCTAATTGATTAGTTAACCTCTAATGGTACGGAAATCTTCAATATTATGAATATACGCGTTATATAAAACCTAATATTTAAAACATATTGAATTACATGATTCGATCTCTACTTCAATTAAATTTATCTCTGGGTAGGTAATTAGATCATACAGCAGTATATTCTATTCATGCGAAAAAGATGTCTGCCTATTTAACTGATGTCGAAAAATACTACTAGTTCTTGTCTAACTGTACAATATGACTGACTGACTTCATATTTTAAAAGTTTATTTAATATATGTTGCACACTTCCAAAAATACACCGTATGCTACTTTTCGTGTGCAAATATTTCCCATTTCAGAAAAGTACATTTAAAGCATTTCACAAGTGTCAAAGCAACGTCAACTTATCACATTCTGAAAAACACAGCACATTACTCTGATCTAGATTTGAGAAGAAAACTAGTAGTATAAAAGTGAACTTTATCAAATTGGTCATGCTCATATTAACTAAGTTTTATAATGACAAGATTATACTCGTAATCTTGATAATAATCAAGTTATAAACGCCGCTAACTCTTTGCACATTTCAATTACTGCGAGTACAATAATAAGCTACTCTTTAATAAGCATCTATAGAACACATAACAGGTAAGCTCATGATATCGGAGCAGGTCATAATTAATCTTACGAAATTAATTCAGTAATAAGACACTAATGCAAATGGATTTATGTCTGTATGTATACACGTATCAATAGATTCGTATTAAGAAACTAAGAAAGCTAGAAGTAAATACTTACTGTATAGTTTATTAAGTAACTTGAAAAAACAATGGATCTTATCTGTTTTTTTTTGTTGATTTAAAACTGTCAATCTCTTGCCTTTTTATTGCCCTGTTTCTTTTTATTTAGTCTTATTGTTATTTTCTTGTTTCTGTTAGGATCTTATCTGCTATCTCGTACTTTATAAACCGTTTTAGAAAATTCTTTATGTACTAGTATATATATAATCTGAATCTCGAAATCCAACGATTTTCATGAAATTTAGTATGCAGGGCGTTTCGGGTGCGATTCATCGATCTAGCAAGGTAGCATTTTAGAAAATTTACCATAAATAAACCGAGCAAACCTCGGTCATCCAGGTACTATATTTTTAAAAGGGTATACTCCTTTAGGATCACTCAAACTTAAATAATAAATGTTTGCCTTTTGTTTTTTAAATTTGAATAGTGTGAAGGGTTTATAACTATGGAATGCCGGTTAGGGTATGCAATTTTATCGTGGAAAGCACTTGTGATCCTTTAGTTGCAGGTGTCCATGGAGTCACTCACCATCAAGGGACCGTGCTCGTTTGCTGCCCTATACCATAAAAAAACATCATGATGTAGGGTCACTGAAGCCGGTGATATTTTTTAAAGGTAATTATCATGTTAAATCATCATCAACAGCCTTTACTAGTCCACTGCTGGACATAGGCCTCTCCTTAGGAAGGAGGAATGTTTAATACGATTCGTTTTTTTTGCTTTAAATAGATCAAATGACATCTTTCTTAGTATGGTTTTAGTTATCTTGGATTTCCTTTTCTTTTCAGATTCAAGGGTATTACGTCACTTTTGACCTGGTACATATGAATGTGATTGCTTTATATGCATTTTGATTTTAATCAGTATTTTTCACATTAAGTATTTGTATAAATTTCATTTTTTTTTTTGATTGTACTCAGTTAATAATAGAAGTGTCTTCCCATGGTTATCTTAAGGTGCTATTGTGTCAGCTTTGTAGATAAAAGAACTTGCCGTCTAGCATCATATTATGTGGGCAAAGTAATCATTGACCAATGCAGTACGAACTTGAAGATTCATGTCTTGAAACCGAATTTAATTTATAAGATGTTAAACATATATAGGTTATAAACTTATTATTTTAAAATAACTTAAAGAAAGAAAACTCATGGTAACTCGAAGGGTCATGGTACGTTTTTGCCAATATTCTTACTATTTAAAAAAATTAGATATCACTCTTATATTTAAATCAGTACAAAGCTTGAGACTCAAACTCAAAAATAACGGTTCATCATCATCATCATCATCAACAGCCTTTAACGAACCACTTCTGGACACAGGCCTCTCTTTAGAAAAGAGGATTTGGCCTACTATAAAAATAACGGTTATCCATATAAATTGCCAACACCCATTTTGCATCCTTAGGGGTGGTTTTTTTTTAAATTGTTTTTTAATGCACACCTACGTCACCTAACGAAAATTTGTGCATAATTTCATGCTTCTAGGCCCAGCGGTTGCAGCTGTACGTAGATCGATCAGTCAGTAAATCAGTCTGTCAGTTTCTTCTTTATAGATATAGATAAATTATACCCAGACATAGAACAAATGATCGTGCTCATTACACAATTTCTTGTCATGGGTGAGAATCGAACCTCTGATATAGCAGTTAGGATCCCTTACCACTAGAAGAACATGCCAGGCAATATAGATAGACACTTTCTACCCAAGGATTTCCAATAACCTATACAGCCAGACTGGCTATTTAATGTATTTAAGTGATCAATAGTTTTAGCAACGTGAAGTGCATCAGTAA